TTTTTCTCTATAACTATAGACTTTACATACATGTATTATAGTAGCGAATATTCTGTAGTGCATTACATTTTAAATAAATATTTCCTTTAAACACACTATCAATTTAATTCGCTCCAAAGATAATAAATTTACAGGATATCCGCAGTACTATGTATAACTCTCAGAACTAGTTCTATCATATTTTCTGTAGTAATTGAATAAAAAAACGCGTTAGAAATAAGTATTTTCGTAATTTTGCTGCGTAATTATTTGACTTGGATAATTATATCTCCATTAACGATTTGTCGTCTTTAACAAAACATCAAAATGTTGCAGTGCTTGAAGTATTTGCACATTGGCCTTAGTTAAATTTAATATTTCAGCATCGTTCTACATAGGTACAGGATGTGCTTATAACAACATTTTTTTCCCAGAGTAATCTAATAAATAACCTAATAGCTAAGTTAGAATAATAAAAATATATATCTTAGATTTTTCCCCCATGAAATAATGATTCTTCAAACACGATATGTTAGTATTAAATTAAAAAATCTGTAACTCCTTACCTACAAAAAGATAAGTCCTTTCACTTGGGAGTTCCGAATGGCAATGACAACTGAACGATAGGTGAACGCTGAACGCAAGGTGAACGCAAAGTGAACGGAACGAAGAGCGAACGCTGAACGCTTTGTGAACGGTGAACGCGAGCGCACGGTGAACGGTGAACGCAAAACTGTGAACGGAGAGCGAACGGTGAACGCACGGTGAACGAACGGTGAACGCACGCTGAACGAACGGTAAACGAACGGTGAGCGAACGGAAAAATGGGAAAGTAGAACGTTTCAGGGACTGTAGCTCAAACCTCAAGTGACCTTTTCTGATCACATTTTGTCTGTAGTCTGTCTGTAAACTTTTCACATTTTCCAACTTCTTCTCCAGAACCACTGGGCTAATTTCAATCAAACTTGCCACAAAGCATTCTTGGGTGAAGGGGATTCAAGTTTGTTCATATTAAGGGCCACACCCTCATTCAAGGGGAGATAATTCAGAAATGGTGAAAATCTGGTGACATGTTTTACTAAATCTTCTTCTCAAGAACCACTGGGCCAAAAAAGTTGAAACATATAGGAAATCTTCTTTACATAGTGTAAATTCAAATTTGTTCAAATGATGACCCCTGTTGGTAGGGTGTGGCCACAATGTGGGATCAACGTTTTACAAGGGAATATAAAGGAAAAAACTTTAAAAATCTTCTTCTCAAGAATAGTAAAGTCATGATTAGTCGTATTGATATGGAAGCATCCTCAGGTAGTTTAGATTTAAATTTATCCAAATGATGACCCCCGGTAGAAGGGTGGGACCACAATAGGGGATCAAAGTTTTACATAGGAATATATAGGAAAAATCTTTAAAAATCTTCTTCTCAAGAACAGCAAAGCCATGATTAGTCATATTGATATGGAAGATCCTCAGGTAGTGTAGATTTAAGTCTGTTCAAATGATGACCCCTGGGGGAAGGGTGGGGCCTCAATGGGGAATCAAATTTTACATAGGAATATATAGGAAAAAATCTTTAAAAATCTTCTCAAGAACAGCAAAGCCAGCATTAGTCATATTGATATGGAAGCATCCTCAGGTAGTGTAAATTAAAGTTTGTTCAAATGATGACCCCGGGGGAAGGGTGGGGCCACAATGGGGGATCAAAGTTTTACATACAAATATATAGGAAAAAATCTACTTCTAAAGAACAGAAAAGCCATGTTTAGTCATATTGATATGGAAGCAACCTCAAGTAGTGTAGATGCAACTTTTTCCAAATGATGACCCCTGGGAGTAGGGAGGGGCCTCAATGGGGAATCAAATTTTTACAAAATAATATAATAGGAACAAGTTGCTGTCCTTTAAGAAAGGACTGCAATACGTGGACCATGTGCTGTCACAGTTCTTATTTTTTATTTACTTTTGTTTGCTTTTTTGTGTAATTATACGGAGTGAAATATGTGTATTATTCAGATATCAGAAAGATATATCCTTCTTTGTAAATTTTTGAATTATCTTCCTTGATTGGAAATCTTTTGTGTCAGGAGTTATCTCCCTCATTTTTTCGTGCAAGTTTTCATTCAGTCTGCCATTAGAGTTCCATCCGTGATGATGTACATGTAACATTCTACCTTCTTACGATTTGTGGCCTATTACCATGTAAGTTTTTATAGGAAACTTTTGTAACTTCATACCTATTATTTGTAAAGTTTTTTGGTGATTATTTATAGAGTTTTTGTGTATTGAAAACTTATTCAGACCGGTAATTTTTGTAAAGTTTAAAGTCACTGAAGTCACGAGAATTAGTTATTGTTATTCAATTTATCTAATATGCTTTATAGTAATTTAATTTATTATTATGATAAGGTTTATAAGTTAGCTTTTTTCTATGGAACACCGTTATTGTCTTTTTGGTATATAAGTATTATAGTATTTGATTTTGTTTATTTCAGTTATTTACCTCATTCGCTTACTCGCTCGTGTAGACTCACTCGCTCACTTAGGCTCACTCACATAGGCTCACTTTGTCTCACTCACCTAGGCTCATTCGCTCATTCACTGATTGGAATATGAATTCGCTTGTTAATAAATATGGAACCAGTTACCATGTGTTCTTCAATGATCAAGTATGAGGTGTGAGGTGTGAAGTTTAGCTAGCTGTTCCAGACAGCATAGTAAATAAATGTCAATTGGCCAGAACCAAACCCAGAATTTGAGGATGATTGATCATCATCAAGAAGAAGAAGATGACGAACACCAGATGGTTGATCAAGAAGAAGATGACAAAAACCAGGCCTCTGCCAGGCCGAAACGTCACAGGGATCTAACTGAGAAAGGTCAAGAACTCCTAGACAAACAGATTAACACTTACTCAGCTCGTTTACAAAAGTTATGGAAAAATGTAGACACTATCATCGAGGAAGTAGACCACACATCTTCTAAAATCCAGAACTCATCATACATTTGAAATCACAGTTAGAAACAAGAATAGATGCATTTGACGTACTCTTCAGTGAATTCTGTGGTTTTCTGGAAAGACATCGAACTGAAAAATGTGTACATGAACTTCAAAAACTCAAGTTTTCAAAGAAAGGATATTCTATCTTATTTGATACTGCTTTCAGAAAACTGAATGCATTGTACCAACAGTCACCACAGCTTCATGAACAGAAACCACCTTAGGAAGAAGATGTTCATTCAAATAGGTCAACTAAGAGATCACAAGAAAATGCCTCACAAACTTCTTCAATCAGCAGTAAACAAAGCTCATTGTCTGAAAAGAGAAAGAAAGCAGAAATTGCCCGTGCCAAATTAAAATATACCGAACTTGAAATGAAAATTAAGAAGGAACAATCTCTTCTAGCATTAGAAAGAGCTAAGTCTCAGAAAATGACAGACGATTTAGAAGCAGATCTACAATTACTATCTGTTAAAAAGGAAGTCGCGGTCGCTGAAGCGGAAATTCTCAGTGAAGAGGAAGGAAGTCAGTGTGGTCATAGTGATACATGTATTAAACATTTAGAGAGCGTTGACAGTAAAGAACGTACAAAATCATATGTAGAGCAACATGCTCAAATCAGAACTCAAAATAAAAACATTTGTGTAGAACCTGAAACTATTGTGAAAGAAAATGTTAATCAACATAGTCAGAGTTGCATTCCAGAACCTTGTACATCTATACTGAATCCTCAGGCTCTTCCATACTTTCCACCACAGCCGTCCTGGAGTGTAGGAGGACAAGCAGTGACCTCAGATTTCACTTGTTATCTCTTGAAAAAAGACTTGATGCTTTCACGTCTCATCAAATTTAATGACAAACATGAATTCTACCCGTCATGGAAAGCAACCTTTAAATCTGTTATGAGAGACTTACAAGTGACACCAGAAGAGGAAATTGACTTTCTTATCAAGTTCACTAGTCTATCAGCACAACAACAGATTATCAGCATTAAAGCAGCAAGTGCGAGCAATCCAGTGCATGGACTTCAGAGAATTTGGCAAAGATTAGAGGAGAGATTTGGTTGTCCTGAAATGATAGAATCTGCTTTAAAAACAAAACTGAACTCATTTGTTCCTATTACATCGAAAGATTATCATCGTCTATATGACTTGTCTGATATTTTGGATGAAATCCTAGCAGCAAAAGAAGATATCCGTTACCAGTCATTACTTGCATATTTTGATGCGTCGACAGGAGTGACACCTATCGTCATGAAGCTTCCGTACCAACTTCAAGAAAAATGGACGAATACAGCAGTGAAATACATAAGTGAACATCATGTTGTGTTTCCCCCATTTCATGTATTTGCAAACTTTATTCGTGAGCGAAGCCGTATCAAGAACAATCCCAGTTTTGCTTATACAGACAGAAACCTGCATATGCAGAAACACAGTGACAAAACTCTGAAGATTTCAAGCAGGAAAACAGCTGTGTCTTGGCAACCACAGATTCTTCGTAATTCAGGAAAAGAAAACCAGTGTCCCCTTCATAAGACAAACCATTCCTTGGAACAGTGCAGAGCTTTCAGAACAAAGCCATTTGATGAACGGAGGAAGATCGTGAAAGATAACAATTTGTGTTTTAGATGTTGTTCAAGAGATCATAAACAAGCAGAGTGTCATTCTGATGTGCAGTGTGGAGAATGTGGAAGCAAATTTCACACATCACCATTACATGTGAACAGGACAAAAGTTCAGACTTCATACCCTTGGAGAAACTATGGCGGGGAGAATTTCACTGAGAGACAAGTTTTAGATTCTGAAAATGTGAACAACCCAGCTCATGAGCTGTGAATTCTAAGTGTACACAAATCTGTGGACAAACATTTGGTGGAAAATCTTGTGCTAAAACCATTCTGGTGCATGTGTACCCAAAACACTGTCCGCAAAAATCTGTGAAAATTTATGCAGTGATTGATGACCAGTCAAACAGAACACTTGCTAAACCAGAACTCTTTGATCTTATGGACACTCATGGAACTATGACAAATTACCTGTTAACATCTTGTTCAGGAAAAGTTCAAAGGTCAGGACGTAAAGTTCAAGGATTAGTTGTTGAGTCATTAGATGGACAAAACTGTATAGATATACCTACCATCATTGAGTGTGATGAAATTCCTGAAGTCAGAGAGGAAATTCCTACACCAGATGTAGCCCTACATTATGAACATTTACATGACATTGCTGATCACATACCACCAGTTGATCCTAATGCAGAAATCCTGTTACTGATAGGAGGGGACATAACCAAAGCACATCATGTTTTAGACCAACGCATTGGATTGGGAAATCAACCCTATGCCCAAAAACTGTCCCTTGGTTGGACTATCATTGGTGAGACTTGTTTGGGAAAAACCCATAAACCAGATGTCATTAATGTCATGAAAACTTGTGTTCTACCTGATGGCCGTCCAACTTTGATGCTACCTTGCAACAGTAACTTACAGGTCAAGGAAAAAATCCTCAATGAAACCTCAACAAACATCATGTGTACAAAGACTGAAATTGGTGAAAGTGTTTTTCAGAGGACAGAGAATGATGAAAAGTTAGGACTTTCTATGGATGATCATGAGTTCTTAGACATCATGAATTCAGAATTTACAAAAGATCTTGATGGACATTGGCAAGCTCCACTTCCTTTTCGTAAGGACCATCAAAGACTAGTAAACAACTATGATCAAGCTAGGAAGAGAGCAAAACAGTTAGATTACACTTTGCAGAAGGATCCTACAAAGAAAGAACATTTTGTGGAATTTATGGATGCATTGTTCAAGAATCATCATGCAGAAATAGCACCGCCTCTACAGAATGGAGAAGAGTGTTGGTACTTACCATTGTTTGGAGTTTACAACCCAAAGAAACCAAACAAAATTCGAGTTGTGTTTGATTCTTCAGCAAAATTCGAAGGAAAGTCGCTTAACGACGTACTACTTACCGGACCAGACTTGACAAACAGTCTTCTGGGTGTTTTACTACGGTTCCGCAGAGAGAAAGTCACATTAATTGGAGATATTGAACAGATGTTTTATTGTTTAAAAGTCTGTGAACCTCATCGAAATTTCTTGCGATTTCTATGGCATGAAGACAACAATCCTGAAAAGAGACTGATCGAATACCGTATGACTGTTCACGTCTTCGGAAACAGTCCCTCGCCAGCCATCGCAACCTACGGATTACGCAAGACTGTGAAGGAAGTAGAAGATATGTTTGGGACAGATGTAATTCAGTATGTAGAACGTGATTTTTATGTGGATGATGGATTAACATCACAACCTACCGTAGAAAAAGCTGTGGACCTAATGAAAAGAACACAGAAAGCATTGAGTTATGGGAAATTACGTCTACACAAAATAGCTTCAAACAACCAGGAAGTTATGAACGCTTTTCCACCTAGTGATCTGTCAAGTGAAATGAAAGACTTGGATTTATCAAAAGACAATCTACCAACACAGCGCAGTCTAGGACTTAATTGGGACTTACAGTCAGATTCGTTTTTCTTTAAAATTTCAAATGATGTCAAACCATTCACAAGAAGAGGTGTGTTATCAACAATAAATAGTATATTTGACCCCCTAGGATTTCTCGCCCCAATTATCATCCAAGGCAAGTCACTTATGAGGAATCTACTTCAAGAAACAGTCAACTGGGATGAACCTTTACCAGAAAGTCAGTCTACTCAGTGGGAAAAATGGAAAAATTCCTTACAACATCTCCAGAATCTACACATTCCAAGAGTTTACATAGAACTGACTCAGTCATGGAGTGAGACAATGAACAAAACAATTCACATTTTTTGTGATGCTTCAGAATCAGCAATATCAGCAGTGGCCTATGTAGAATCACAAGGAAACTTTGGATTTATCCTCGGCAAATCAAAACTTGTGCCCTTAAAAGGACATTCGATACCACGTTTAGAACTTTGTGGCGCTGTGCTAGCTGTGGAAATTGCTAAGTGTGTATCAGAACAGCTAGAATTACCGATTGAACATTTTAAGTTTTACTGTGATAGTAAAGAAGTGTTGGGATATATTTTCAACAATTCAAGGAGATTCTATCAGTATGTGGCAAACAGAGTGATGCAAATTCGTAAAGTGACCAAACCAGATCAGTGGTCATACATATCGACAGACAAAAATCCAGCTGATCAAGCAACAAGACAGATACCAGTTAAAGCTCTACAAAAAAGTACTTGGCTATTAGGACCATCACCTCCACACTTACAACAGATTCAGCACCCATGCATATCTTATGAGATGGTGGACCCAGATTCAGACAGGGAAGTCAGACAAGAAATCACTTGTCTAAAGGTTGACATCTATAGACTTGGATTGAAATCGGAAGGATTCTCATGCTTTTCCCAATGGAGGAAACTTGTTGAAACTATTGCCAGACTTCAACATTTAGCACATTCCTTTCAACAAGGAGACAGTAAATGCTCTGGGTGGCATGTGTGTGAAGATTCAAGAACTGTGGAAAATTTCAACAAAGCTGAGAAACTTATCATCAAAATTGTGCAGAATGAAGTGTATTTAGAAGAAATTCAGTGCATATTGAAAGAAAAACCTCTACCTAGAGATAGTAACATTTTACCTCTTTTGCCATTCTTGGATAAAGATGGAATACTGAGAGTTGGAGGACGTCTCAACAAAAGTTCTTTACCAATCAATGAGAAAAATCCAGTGATAATACCCAGAAACCATCATATAGCGTTGTTGATTGTTCGTTACTATCATGAACTCTGTAAACATCAAGGTCGCCACTTAACAGCAGGAGCGATTCGTAGTGCTGGATTCTGGATAATAGGAGCCAGAAAATTAGTTTCATCCATACTTCACAACTGTGTCAAATGCAGAAAATTACGTGGAAAGCTATTGTGTCAAAAAATGTCGGACCTTCCTACCGATCGTTTGGAGCCTAGTCCACCATTTACTTACATTGGCCTGGATACGTTTGGACCATGGGAGATAGTTACTCGTCGGACGCGTGGAGGATCTGCAAACTCGAAAAGATGGGCAATCTTATTTACCTGCCTTACAACGAGAGGAATTCACATTGAAGTTGTGGAGGAGTTAAGCTCTTCATCATTTATCAATGCCTTTAAGCGGTTTGAAGCCATTCGAGGAAAAGTTACCCAAATTCGTTCAGATCAAGGAACCAATTTCGTGGGTGCTATAAATGACCTGAAAATTGATTCAACTGGACTCAACTTAGAAGACAGTAAAATCAAAAACTTCCTTTATGAGTGTGGAACTACTTGGAAGTTTAATCCACCCCACTCTTCGCATATGGGTGGCGCATGGGAACGCCTCATTGGAGTAGTAAGACGTGTGATTGATGCAGTTATGTTGGAGATACCAGCTAGATCACTAACTCATGAAACACTGACGACATTTATGGCAGAAGTTTCAGCAATCGTAAATGCCAGACCATTAGTCCCCTTATCGGAAGATGCAGATGAACCGTACCCTCTGAGCCCTTCCATGATACTTACCCAGAAAACTCCTGTGATCGTCGACCTTCCTGTTGACAAGATGAACATGTATCAAGCTCAGTGGAAACCGTACAGCATATGGCAGATTTATTCTGGACGCGCTGGAGAAAAGAGTATCTTCATACTTTACAGATTCATTGCAAGTGGACGCGTACTGAAAGAAACATTACAGAAGGTGATATTGTGTTACTTCGCGATAAAGATGTTCATCGTAACCTTTGGCCTATGGGTGTCATTGTGAAAGTGTTTCTCAGTGATGACAGGAAAGTTCGTAAAGCTGAAATTCGTGTCGCGAAACGCGGCTGCCAGTCATCAACATTCATTCGTCCAGTTACAGAGATGGTGTTGCTACTATCCAATGACATTAATGTATAGCGTGTAATTGTATATGTGATGTTAGAAACATCAGACGGGGAGTGTGCTGTCACAGTTCTTATTTTTTATTTATTTTTGTTTGCTTTTTTGTGTAATTAATCGGAGTGAAATATGTGTATTATTCAGATATCAGAAAGAGTTATCCTTCTTTGTAAATTTTTGAATTATCTTCCTTGATTGGAAATCTTTTGTGTCAGGAGTTATCTCCCTCATTTTCTCGTGCAAGTTTTCATTCAGTCTGCCATTAGAGTTCCATCCGTGATGATGTACATGTAACATTCTACCTTCTTACGATTTGTGGCCTATTACCATGTAAATTTTTATAGGAAACTTTTGTAACTTCATACCTATTATTTGTAAAGTTGTTTGGTGATTATTTATAGAGTTTTTGTGTATTGAAAACTTATTCAGACCGGTATTTTTTGTAAAGTTTAAAGTCACTGAAGTCACGAGAATTAGTTATTGTTATTCAATTTATCTAATATGCTTTATAGTAATTTAATTTATTATTATGATAAGGTTTATAAGTGAGCTTTTTTCTATGGAACACCGTTATTGTCTTTTTGGTATATAAGTATTATAGTATTTGATTTTGTTTATTTCAGTTATTTACCTCATTCGCTTACTCGCTCGTGTAGACTCACTCGCTCACTTAGGCTCACTCACATAGGCTCACTTTGTCTCACTCACCTAGGCTCATTCGCTCATTCACTGATTGGAATATGAATTCGCTTGTTAATAAATATGGAACCAGTTACAGTCCCTGAAACGTTCTACTTTCCCATTTTTCCGTTCGCTCACCGTTCGTTCAGCGTGCGTTCAACGTTCGTTCAGCGTGCGTTCACCGTTCGCTCTCCGTTCACTGTTTGCGTTCACCGTTCACCGTGCGCTCGCGTTCATCGTTCACAAAGCGTTCAGCGTTCGCTCTTCGTTCCGTTCACTTTGCGTTCACCTTGCGTTCAGCGTTCACCTATCATTCAGTTTTCATTGTCATTCGGAACTCCGAAGTGAAAGGACTTATCTTTTTGTAGTTAAGGAGTTACAGGTTTTTTTAATTTATTAACTAACATATCGTATTTGAAGAATAATTATTTCATGAGGAAAAATATCTACGATGTATATTTTTATTGTTCTAACTTAGCAGTTAGGTTATTTATTAAATTACTCTGGAAAATAAATGTTGTTACAAGCACATTCTGTACCTATGTAGAACGATGCTGAAATATTAAATTTAACTAAGGGCAACGTGCAAATACTTCAAGCACTGCAACATTTTGTTGTTTTGTTAAAGACGACAAATCGTTAATGGAGATATAATTATTCAAGTCAAATAATTACGCAGCAAAATTACGAAAATATTTATTTCTAATACGTTTTTTTTTTCAATTACTACAGAAAATATAATAGAACTAGTTCTGAGGGTTATACATAGTACTGCGGATATCCTGTCAATTTATTATCTTTTGAACGAATTAAATTGATAGTGTGGTTAAAGGAAATATTTATTTAAAATGTAATGCACTACAGAATTTCTCTACTGTAATATGTAAAGTCTATAGTTATAGAGAAAAAAAATCTTTCTTCACCGTAACTTTATATGTTTGCCATTCGATATGATTAATACCCCCCCTTTCCCCCTAAATCGGTGACTTAGTCAGTACCGTATTTCCAGAATATTTTAATTAACATTTTAAAAAAAAGCTACGGTCTTTTTTAGAACAAAAATTTCAGTCTCAAAACAAACATGCATCTTAAAAAAGTCACAAAACAATAGTAGATCAAAATGTACACGTGTCGGCGGTGGTATTTGAAATTGGCAGAGAGTATGTCTCACATTCAAGTGTTAATGCCCAATGTATTTACTAATTTATTATTCAAATGTTGGAATCAAATCTAGAAATGATAAAAATAAATGTTATAGCTTGTTGGAAATACTCGCACTTCGTCTTCGATGTGACGAAACTTTCACACCTGCACAGTGTCGAATGATTTTGATTGACAGGACAAGCACGTGGAGTTCGTGTGAACTTGAAGTAGGAAAATAAAAACGAGTATGACTGTCAAACAAATGGATATGATTTGTTGATAAAAAAAAAAGTTACTTTCACTGTCTGATATATTTAGAAAAAAATTTCAGAGTTTTTGTTTGATATAGGTACAAACATTTGGTGAAGCCTGAAAGGAGGGGGGTGGCTAAAACAATATTACTCTCTCTCTTTCATTTGTCTGTTTAATAAAAACTATAACACCATATTACTTAACTATCAAGTTCTGAAATTTGAATTTATAACAATAATATGAAAAATTATCTTTGTATCATCTTGTCCGAGTATAATCACGGCCATCTAGAGATACATGTAGACGTCTGCTCAATAAATCATAATGAAAAATAGAAATGACACATAATATATTATTGTATTAAAAGTTTAAAATATGAGCGTATAAATGTAATTAATTTTTTTTTCATTACTTTACACGAAATCGCCTTGACACGGAGATATATATATATATATATATATATATATATATATATATATATATATATATATATATATATGAATATAAGTTACAACCACTTTAATTAATTCTATAAATCATAAGTTTTCTCTGATTTGTGATCAAATAAGAATAAACATTTTTATTTTCCAAATAAAAACAATATCTTTTATGCTTCAGCGTTTGGCAACAACTGCAATGTTTTAATGCGATAAAAATCGTGTGATTAAAAACTTACCGGTAATGTGCATGCACCGTCTTTCTTAGGACAATTTTGGAGAATTCATTTTGTTGACTTATTTATTCATTCATTTATTTGTTTACTTATTTATTATTTGGTTTTTTTGTGTGTGTGTGTTTTTTTTTTGGCACCTGACATTTTAATACAATAAAATAGTTTCAATGCAAGGAAAAGATCAGAGGCATTCCGAATATATCGTTCATCTTGCGTTCACCGTTCGTTCACCATTCACTTTGCGTTCGCGTTTGCGCTCCGTTCGCGTTCTGCGTTCGCTCACCGTTCACACATCGTTCACCAAGTTGCGTTCAGCGTTCACACATCGTTCACTCACCGTTCGCTCTGCATTCGTTCAGCGTTCGCTCACCGTTCAAGTGGGAAAGTAGAACGTTTCAGGGACTGTACCATGTGTTCTTCAATGATCAAGTATGAGGTGTGAGGTGTGAGGTTTAGCTAGCTGTTCCAGACAGCATAGACCATTTGCATGTGTTTCTAAACGAAATTTAAAGAAAGTTTCTAGATTTAGTGATTTTACAAAGGTGTAATTAAATTTAATTTTTTTTTGTAATTTTCACCGTTATTTAAGTCTACTTAATTAGGCTGTAATGATAAAAAAAATCATGACCTTGAAATGATATGAATATGAAACGTTGATCTAAGTATCTATCATAATTGTAATGTAGCCTTTAAAATTGACAACAGAATTAAAAGAGGCTTAAGCATGCAGGTATCGTAATCTCCATTGTCGGATCCAAGAAGGGGGGTTCGGGTGTTGGAACCCCCTTTACTTTTGCAGAAAGAGGAAGAGAGAAAGAATGTTTTTTTCTGTAATATATAATATATTTTTACATCTGGTATTTTCAATAAAATAAGTTCTTCAATCTCTACCGTTTCTGCTCTCTAGGTAGAGTTTTCCTTATTGCTTCCTCCGTGTACCTTCACAATCCCTGGCCTCGACCATCCACACACGTAACACAAAAGATTTCACTTTGATATCATCGGAAGATTCAGTGAACGTACGGCTATGCCATTTTTGGACCATTTTCTAAAGTAACTAACTTTTAGAAATGTGCATAAAAAGTCATGAAAGGGAGTATCCATAAGAGAATATTTATCTCCTTATATTATGGGGATATTTTAATCAATGAAGAGAAAGGTTCAAAATGCCCCTGTAGTATGTTGGGGAGGGGGGTTCACTTTTTCTTTAAAAAATCTTTTGTTATAATATGAATATATAAGTTTTAATTTGCATTGGAAGCTTCCCCGCACTTTTTGTTGCGGGAAGGTTCAAAATACAGAAAATCAAATATTTAAAAGAAATCAAAATGTACCAAAAAGTAAGACAGTGTGACCTAAAACCCTCCCATCCCCCTTTTTCAAAAACTCTGTTTTGGAGCACTAGAGGGGCTCTGCACTAAAAGGTCTCGCGTTATCTAAAACAATGCTAGGTTATCGATTAACTCTATCAATTTAAAAACACATAAAAGATTAATTTTGTGTTTGTGTGTGTGTTTTTTTTCTTTGTCTCCTTTAAATAATGGAATAGTTAATATACAACACCTGCAATCGTAACTTCTCAGCAAAACAACATGTTTTTCTGTCTGAGCTCGCCAGAAGCTTTGAGAAGATGCGATTGACAATCTCATCACACGTGTGTAGACCTAGGCTATTTGGTCATGCAAGCACAGGTGTGTGCACTGTTTGCTAGTGACGCTTAGACTGGTGACAGTATTTGCTACAGACATGAGGAACTTTACACCAGTTTCATAACGTGTGCAGTTTTTTCTAGTGAAAATTGGAGTAAATTAAAAGTCCAATATCTTGGATATGGGGTAACCCATATCTATTCTTGTTACAATGACCGTCAATGCATCCTTGGACGAGTGCATTGGTTACTCTGAAGGGGGCACAGGTTTACCTTTCGTTGACATTTTCTACAATGATCTGCCTACTTTGAGTGATTGTACTTTCATAGCAAAGTTGTTAAATTTTATTCCTGATTGGCCTATAGTTTTGTCATTTAAAAAAATCGGGTTATTTCGATACATGTAATGCAGAACGGCTGG